GTTTGTATGGTGTTTGTTTTCGATCTAATAGAGTTTTCGACTAACGTTAAATGCGAACCTCAAACGTCAAAGCTAATCTCGTGATCATTGTTATTCTGTATCATCGGTCCGTTCTTTGTCATTTGTATAGTCTAAAATTCATCGTTTTCTCGTGCATGTACGCATCTCTATTCCCTTACAAGGGTTTATATTTTTGTTTTCCACTATAAAACTATAAAACAAAATCTTAAAGGCTATTTGACGTTTGGCGTTCGCCTTTGTTTTAGTCTCGTTAGGCTGTAGCAGCAGGACCAGTTTGTAGTAGATTCATGGGATCAGGAATCCATTTGTGAACAGTGATCCCGATTTTAGCTTTTGGCTTTTTAACTGAAATCCTGATCTCGCATATTCACGACTCTTTAATAAGGTTGGCGTGCTCGATGATACAGCTAGCTAATTCAACACGAAGGTTGTATACCTGAATTTTTACCACAACTGTGAATTCTCGATGATTAGTTGATTAGATTAGAGTGTCAAGGAAATATACAATGTGCTGACTTGAACGTCAAGTCTCGCGCGCGCCCTCAGTTTAAAGAAACAATAATTTTCGCTAATTTTCAAATTAAAAATGTGAAAAGAAATAGATTCCACAGTTAATTATTTTTTCGTTTATGTTCTCGCTGCGCTAGTTTGTTTACTTACTGGTTTTGAACATATTTTATATGACGTTATGAGTGTGTCAATAACTCAAAAGCGTGCGCAACCAAAATTGTGCGCACTTGTTAACATGCACATATCAGCACGTGCTATCTACAATTTTCTTTGGTTTGAGAGAAGACACTGATGGTTTTCTCGTATTGTCAATTGGTGTGAYACGATTAGATTTGATATTCCCAAAACTGTTTCTTGGAGATCTGTTGCCATCCTTTGGTCCACCAAAAGAAGCCTTGCGTACATTTGATGGTTGTCTCAATACTGCTGAATCAAGTCTTTTTTCTTGGTTTGTTTTGCTTGCTGTGGAGAGTTTGCGGTTGTTAGATATTGATAAGGACTTGTTGCGGGCTGAGATATAAGACTGCCCAGTATTGGGTCGAATGTCCTCTTCGTCTTCACTTTCAAGGATCTCTCTCAAGTCATCATCGCTTTCTTCGTCGACGTTAACGACGCTTGATTTACCAAGGCTGAATTCACATTGAATCAAACATCAGTCAAACAGTCTCATTATCATATTATATCCGACTTTAGGATACCCCGTCACTTTCTGGCTCAATAGAAATTTGCATTCTACGGCTCTTTTAAGAACGACCGCAATGAATTCGATAGACTTTAATGGTATTCATACAGTGACGGGGTATTCTAAAGTTTAACCATTAGTTATGATATATGGGGAATTCTCATATTAATCTTCCTTAAGATCCCTAGAGTGGTGAAGATCGCGCATATGACAACATCATATCGATTAGTATGATAAACGCATGCGCGTACGTACCTTCTTCGCTCTCCATCTGAGTCGTCATCGTCCAACATTAGTCGTGGAGGAGGTTGCTGTCCGTGAGTATCTGAGTAGGCTGGGGCTAGCATACTTGGTAAGTAACCTGGTGTTGTCCAGTCGTAACGTCTCGTTAAAGTATCGTTGTCCACGACTGGTAATCGATTGTGTGTCATGTCGAATCCAACTTGATCTTGGGAAATCTCATCTGGRAACAACATACGGATTCTTCAATAATTCACTTAGCAAATACAACAGTTTAAACTCTCTTTCGCCTCGTCTTCGATCGCGCCGACTAGGTKAGATATGGACGTAAAGGGCGTAGTCGGAGGTATGTGTTTGCATGCCTTCATAACAGGTCAGGTTGCATTTGAAGAAGGTATAAAGAAGACAATTCATGTTGCTAATTATATGTCACGTGACTGAATGGAGGTGGCTTAGCCTCCTCCCCAGGCATCACAAAGAATCACGGGCTTCCTGTCTTTTTTATTTATCCTTTCTCGTCAGTAGTCCCTAGCGGCCAAGATGACCGTTACAAAGGRAACCCAAAGGAGGAAAAACGAGTCGCCTGGGGAGGAGGCTAGAGATGGCTGATATGTCACTATCGTATAATATGATAATAAACAATTATTGGATGAGGTTTCTGTGATATCGCTTCGGATACAGCCGAAATAGTCGAAACAAATGTCGCGAAAAATTGTTCTTTGTGTTATTTTCGTTGCTGTTGTTTGTTGTTGTTGTTGTTAGAACAATGCGTCCGCCATCTTGAAGTAAGACCCGAATTACTATGTTGTTCCTTGTTGTTGTGAACGCATTTCGTAGTTTCGTAGTCAACTAATCTATCATTATATCGTATTATATTAACTTGACATTAGCTGAGAACCTTTTATAATTCCTTTAGGAGTTATCAAGATGGCACACACATTTTTCTCCGAAAGTGCTGATGCATGTATAGTTTGTTGGATACTAAAACAATAAGAGCACCCCTTGGTCTTGTRAWCGCTACAAATCTAATTGTTAATGATCTTAAAGTCAATTATATCCAGGTACCTTTATTGTTGTTGTGTTCGTTTTCCATGGCTTCTTCCATCTTTTTCTTGCGGCTATTGATTCGATTGCTGTTAATTGTTGTGAATTTCTTCTTTCTCAGGTAATAGCTCTGCTTRGCACATTGGTAAACGATGCACAGGAATATAAAACTACCTGACATTGAAATAAAAAGTTTGATAAACAAGTCAGTTAATTGTAGATGGAATGAAAGCTCGGTAGTCCTTGGTTACTGGGGTGGCGCACTTTTCCCTGAGACCTTAAATCTACCATTGAACACTTGTTTGTTCTAATCTAATAGTCTTTTCAGGGGAGGAGGGTGGTGGAGTACTCCCCTCCAACTTGGATGGGGTGTGCCGCTGGGATCCCAAAACCATGACCCTGTTCCAGGGTGAAATCGCTGAAAACGATACCCTGCAGGTTGGCGGCACGTACCCGTATAGCGAATATAAGCAAAACCCCTCCGGTTTCACTATACCTTAGTCAGCTATTATTACGCAACCCCTACACCTTCGATCTCCAGGAGTTAGTGAAAATATCAAATAACGTCGTACCTACTCCTATTCCTGCATATACCAAGGGCAAGATGTTCACGACAATTGGAGCTACAGTAGTTATCGGCGGGATCGSTGTGGCTATAACCAAATTCCCTTGGTGTAAAGCATTCGATGTATTACTAAATCGAGAAATCAGGAAAGATAGCTTTATCTTTGARCCATCCTGGAGCTGCACGGAAAGATTTCCATGCTGTGTCCAGGCTCGAAGCTTTTCCACTTCCTTTCTCAGAACAGAGGGGCTTGACTTCATTTCCGCTCTGATCGACATGCTGCTGCATTCCACGGAACCGAYAACTGATTTCCCTAGAATATTTAGGTTTGAAACGTCCACCCCGCAGTAGGGCTGTGCTCCAGTGGAGCACGTGATATTGATGACGTCAATGACGGTGTTGGTGAGATTACCGATCACGTGGTTGAATGACAAGGCTACCTGGCTCTTTTTTGACAGATATTGAGTACAGTCAGTTATAAAAACAGCCAGTAGGTAGGCGGTATCTGCAGGAATACTGRTTACTGTAGAAATAGAAATGATCAKGCATTACTATACTATTGAATAGTTTGATAGTCTATTCGCAGCGACGTCTTTTGTGGCGTGCTCCCTTCCCCTGTCCCACGGGACGCCCTACCACGAACCCCTACCGACGTTTGTATAAAGGGTATACTTAGACTAATAGATTATTATGTATAAATCCGTAGGTTTACAAAATCCACACATTTTYACATAACCGTCCCCTACAGGAARGCCTCGTATAATTTTGTACTGACGAATTTTCCACCTTTAAATGTGGTGGTTTAGATGCTGTACCGGGAGAAATTGTGAAAGTAAACCAGACATACTTACCCGGCACTGCGCTAGTAGCTGTTTGCTGCTGTATAGTTGATGTTGGGGAAATAGACGGACTGCTGGTCTGACAGGTTTTACAGCAAAAAGTGTTATTTAATGGACACCAGCAACACGACAGGTTTCCTTGTGAGGTATTCAAGTTAGYAGCAGTCCTGTTTGCAATAACACTTGGTTCAATATTACATGTTGACTTGTTAGTCGTCACACCACACGAACATGAGTTGTTATTACACTGGGAATAGACGAACAATGACTGGCATGACGGCTGCAAGAAAGAAAAAAAAAACAAATTACCAATCACTGTTTGTAATATGTGATATACGGGCAATGATACCATATGATTCGTACTCGTATTTTTCACAAACGATAGTTTCATGGAAAATACTTGAACCTGATACTTTGAGTGTCATGGAAGTATTAGGGGTTTACGATACTCTACAAATACGATAGTTTCAGGGGGATCGTTTCGTCAAATCTCAGGATCAGTTGTAGCCCACGTTCCTCTCCATTTGAGCAAATTAAAAACGAAATAATGAAGATGCAAAATTTGAAGTGCCAAACATTGCAGTGCTGATAAAATGGTTAAACAAATGTTACAATCGGTGCATGTTGAGAGTACAAAATTTGTGGACGACAGTATCGCGAAGAAGTGTATTGCGAATGGTTCTGCAATGCTTTAATCTTTTTTTCTTTATCTCTCTCGACTATTTGAACGGGCACATTTTATACTCTGATGTGCGTCCATCTCTATCATTTAATAATTAAAGCAGTTTTTTTTATTTCTATTGTTCTGATTTTCTTCATATACTGGTGAAAGCTGTCAAATATTATGTAAAAAATGAATATAATTAGTATAAAATGACCATGATGAAATAGCCACGTTTCGGACATTCGCCCTTTTTCAACTAGAATACTCATGAAGAAAGGAAAATATTTATAAAATAGGAATAGAAAAAGGACCATAAAACAGGAATATATTTATAAATACAGCAATATGCAGAAATAAATTTGACTCATATTTCAAATATTTCAGAAATTATGGGAGTATCATCGACACAATTTGTTTGGAAGTTGCCTAGCACTAGTACTTTCTGAAAAAAATATTGGCGATGATATCGCATAATTTCTGATCTAATTTATTTATATTTGAAATATGAGCAAAATGAGATAATAATTTCTGTGCCAAGTCACATTGAAAAATCCCAGTTATTACTGTAGCTGTAATTAATCGTCGAGTCTAAATTGCTTATAATTAATTCTTCGAATGATCGACTGGAAACATATCCCGCAATGGGAGAGAACTATCCGGCTACAGAACATCTGGAATGATTTCGATCAAAACAATTGTTACCTTAAAAAATACTTATTTCCAATTATTATCATATATTCAAATTGGATGTTATAGTAATTCTTCTTCTGTGTTTAAAAAATCCATTTTTTCGATATCGTTCCCCAGCAGTTCGCTATATGATTTTTTTTTTACTTCAAACCCTTTTTTTTTCCTTATGCTTAATCCTAAAATACGGCATTGCAATTTTCTTCCATTGCTTGATATGATTACTGCTATCCCCAATAATAGTTTATCATTTTTGCCATCTTTTGAATTCCGACTGATTCGGTTCATGTTTCAACAATGTAGCGATTTTTACATAGAAGACGCCGATGGCGATGATTTGTATTTGCACAGAAATCATTGTTGCGACATATTGACTAATATTGATCAGCATTAACAGTTTGTTTTAACGAATTTTTTTTTCTTTGGATGCCCTTACTTATGTTTTCTAGGGTTTTTAGCAGACATTTTGTTGTCCAGTTAAAAGTCTTTTTCGTTTTTATTTTCATCACAGCTTGAGGAAATCTAAACGGGCCAAAACAAAAGAAGTGAAAAAGATCAAAGTCCATCAATGTTGGCTTGAAAGCCTGGGTTTTTAAGTGCATCAATCYTATTAAGTGCATTATATTTTGTGTAGTACAAAAGTAAGAGAAGTTTTCACGTCTGTACTGAAAAAGACTTCGTTTTTGGGGCGAACAATTGGTTTATTGATAACATATTCATGAAGTCAAATTATTGTTGAGCTAGTATCAGCTTATGGTATCTCATAGTAAACATGCAATGTGCCCCGCAGTTGTAAATTCCAAGTAATCTAAATAACAATCAAAAAGACGTTACAACCTTCAATCAATACGCAGGCTACAATAAGTCATCGATCAATGACGGTAGAATTTCCTAGAATAAATGGCAATCACTTTTTGTATATCTTTCCGGTTTCTTGGTTACAAATTTAATTCATTTATTGGAATCGATTTTATGTTCAATACGACATGGTCATTTTTATATATATCCGAGCGATCATAAATAGCATTCTCGATATCATACATAAAACAAAATATACAATATATGAGTTATGTTATTAATGGTCCTTATGGTTTACCTTGGTGCAGTTGAGCCACGTAAAACCAACTGATAGTGAAATCTTTCCCACAACAAACAAAAGGACAAAGCTCCCTAAAAACGAAGAAAAAGATATATATTTAATACAAAAATTGCAGTATTTTGTAAGTGAGTTTGTGGTGCTAAAAAAATCAAAAATATTCTCTAGAGGCATAGMAGTACTTGACAAGAAAAATTGAAATCCTTGCGACTTACAGGGTAAATGTCCAGCCATCACTCAATCCTCGCGACTTTTCGACTTTGTTAGAATAAAAATACACTAAGACTTGTTGAGATATTCATGATGCCTTGGTTTTCTTCATTTGAGAGCATTTCTCATTCTATAAGCAACACAACAAGTCTGTTGGATCAAGCGCTATATAAGTTGGAACTTTTGATAGTCGACTAGCTATTTTAGGTTTGTAATACAGAGCTTCAGGCAGGTGTACCGTTACCATGGTAAAGTCAAACACGTGACGTCAGTCGATTATCCAAAATTGACCAAAATAGGCAATTCAGGATAGTATCGTCTCTCTGAATTAAAACTGTTTAAACAACAACATGACTTGGCTTTATCGCTAAAACTCTCTTTCGAAAGAAAATTGCCGAGAAAAATTAATTTTGCACATTCAAGAATAATTCATTAATATGTAATTATTAAACATTTTGGTGGAAATGAAAAATTGATTACATATGTCAAAAATATCACATATGGAATTACTAAATAATGATTTACACGATTGGATTCCTTAGTTYTTCCTCTTTTTATAAAAATAATTGCACAAATACAAATTGACAGTCAATGCATTCAAGGTTATCAGACAATTCTGATAAGGTAAATAGCAAAAAATGCAAATGAAAAAAATGTAATGAAASTAAAACTGTCAGAATAAACAAGTRGGTTTTTTTAGTCAAACAGGGTATAGTTTTTGTACCGCTCAGCGGGATATTTCCAATACTAAAAGAAAGAAACAACAACTTCAATACTCTAATTCTTTATTCAAAAAGACATATTWAAAGCGTATATCTGGAAAAGTGTGAGCAGAATTAAATAATGGAGTACGTTTTATTAGAAGGGAAAGCAGAACTTCTGCATATTATTTCGCACATGATTTTTTTTCATTAAAAACATATATTTTAACTATTCATATTCATTCCAATGACYAATGAAAAAAAAGCAACAAATAAGTGTTTTTTTTTTCTCTGCCTCTCTCTTTTTTGTATTTTGATCCCAACAAAGAAAATGTTTGCAAATGATAAACCGTGTTCATAAGGAATAAACATAACATTTTCCCTATATAACCTATTCAAGGAGCAAAGCCGTGTACTGTTTACGTGACACTAGATAACTGTCTCTTATTACTCTTCATTAGGCAAAAGCAATCAGGCGCCTCGCTGTAGTTTTTTACTAATCYTCAAGAGTCAAACGTGCCATTCAAAAATTGACGTTTTGACAATTAACTTCATGTATTTTTATTTATTTTGTGATATAAAAAAACAATAAACAAACAATTATTGCAAAATAAGATGGCCTCATGTGTCTTTATCCTGATCTAAAATAGTGGGAGATTAAGAAAAGCACTTGCATGCTTGCTATTTTTCTAAAACGACAGAAAAACTTGCGTTCCTTTGATAGTTCTCAAATTTAAACCTCTTCAAAGACGGTAGCAAATCAACCTTGACTCAACCAGTGAAATGTGCCCGACGATTCTCAAACTATTCACTAAGTTAGTTTTCTTCGTGAAAATATCTTTTAATGAGGAAGCCAAGATAAACACTACCCAGTGGGCTGATCCAGAAAATTGAAATTGGCGCTGGGAAACATCTAAACATTCAATTTTGTGCTAAGAATTGGTCTGTCTGTCTGAATTATGGTTATATGAATAAGAAAATGGATAGCACAAAAGGGAGTCAAAGAATTAAAACCCTTTTGATCCAGAGAGTGAATAAATTGCGTCTTTTGGACGACTGGATGTTTCCGCCAGAGACAAGACCCCTTGTGATGTATGCTCTCTCATCTTGCCTTGCACCTAGACAATACAGAGCACGCAAGACGCAAATCAACCGGGCATTTAGATATTTTAGTGTCTGTATATACTTACAGACACTATTCAAGCCANTTTTAACCGTTCGTTTAATTGACTGATTTCTTTACCGATTTTTGATCTTGCTGTAGATATTGCATTGATGGTTCGTTGCTCGGTTTCTTGCCCTGAAAATAAACAAAATATCGTAAAAATTAAATTAGAACTTATTAAATTCTGTCTGACGAGTGCGTCACAGAGAATCATACGTGCTTCCTTGAAGTTCACCTATTGCACGTTTTGCTCTGCACTAATGTGTATCGAGCACTGTTAGACCGCGTCAGCTGCAAGTTCACTCGGCAAAATATGGTACATGTACAGTACAGCATACAGCTACCGCGGTCAAAGACTTAACGCCTGCCTGACCGCGATCATTACGCGTCCAGGACCGCGATCGGAACGCGTCCAAATCGCGACTAGTTTGCGTTTTAACCGCGTTCAATGGACGCGATTTGTGCTTCAATGTTTTCAGGCGGTACTGTATCATATAATGTAAGCTAGACTGACGAGACTAATCATGTCTTGTTGTTTGTTATTGTTCCTGTAGCATTTGATATTGTTGTTAGTGCTAATGTTGTTGTTTTGGTTGGCAAGTTCCTCCATAGATTATACTTTGATTCGTTAAGTGCTGTTCTGGGTAGAAGATGGTGTCTGGGATGGTGTGGAGACTTCATTTGATTCATATATTTGTGTATAAATAGTTTCTTCTAATTTCCAGTCGATCTAACTAAGCTWGTTGTAGGACAAGTGTATAAGATTCGGCCTCCAGGTAGGTAATGATACAGCGCTAAGTCTACATGTAGCTCGAGGCATGTGATGCAAATTATGGCCCAAATCATTGACAATATTTGAATCGATTATTTAATCAATGAAGATATAACTGAAGGGTTGTACATGTACGCTAAAACGTGCAGTCTGACGAAGGTTGTCACTTTTATAACATGAATCATACAAACTGTTGCCGAATTGGTGCATGGTATACTTATTAATAATGGAGTCCGCAGGACAGAGGGTTGGTTTCTTAAGCTGGMGGTCCTAGTTTAAATTCCCAGTTTAACCACTAGTAGCCCTGTCTATATATAGGATACACTCTCAACTCTTCCTTCACTGGGTCTAATGATTTCAGAAAGACATCAAATCTTTCTTTGTCTATACTTACAATCTTTTTCGTGTTTTGTTGGTTGCAACTGTTTAGTACTCAGCAAGCACTGGTGCATCATTTGCGTGGGATCTTGGAATATCTGGATTACAATTATGGACAGGATATTATCAATAACTGCATCGGTTATAAAGCTCAAAGGTTAACTCAAATAAAGATAGTATGAA